CTGACAAACAAAAGGAGAGAAACAAACAAATAAATCACTGTCACATAATTAAAAGCAACTTGCATGAATTATTTTCATAGCTAATTCAACAGTATTACTGTAAGCACTGTATCAAAAAGTAATTCATTTAAAACTTAAAATCCATGAAGAGAAGAAAGGTAACTGTAAGATTTACTGTGAACATATTTTAAACTATTTTCTTACAGAATTTTCATGGGTATGATTCAACTCAGAAAATACACTGCATCAGCAATTGTATTAATGTTATTTAAGTGATCTGATCTAGAACACATCTAAGTACACGACATTTAAGTGAATGTGCAAACCAAAGCATTATTCCAGTCAAACCCCAGAGCTTTTCATTACGAACTCTGACAAAAATCATGGCATCTCAAAAAGAATCAATAACCTAGATATCTCAAAGTGTTTTGGCCTAAGGTCTTGAATAGACCAAAACTACAAACCACTTTTTTAAGAATCTACTTCATTCAAACCTACACACAGCACCATGCTGGAGAGCAAGTTAACATGCATCAGTAAACAAGTAGGTTTTTTCCAGTATGTACTTTTACTAGCCAGTATGTGCCATACAGGTTATTTTCTTAGGTTATCCTGAAGGTGACTAAGAAACTCAAACAGCAAAAGCAAAGCCTTCAGTGTCATCAGAAAAGCAAGTATATATGGAGATTACTTTTCCGCTTAAGTCCTACTTCTGTTGTTCCATGTCATCTGCTTATGACCCCCTGCAGTACATTATACATTATCACTGATGGTAGATATATGCAATGTTTCTCTTTAGATAGTAGAGCATAGTAAGTTCAGATAGTACTGCAAAGTAACTTCAGATAGGACTCCAGACAACGATTGCATCTCGGCTTAACTTTGCTTTGTAATAAGAATATTAAAAATTATTGGTCTCTATTTATTTTGAAGTGCTCTCTCACAGATTTGATGCAGTATTCTTTGGATGTTGTTTCTTTTTTTGTGGGAGCAGCCAAATCATACTAGACTATCATATAAAAAAACCACAAAGCAACTGTTTATCTAACATGTTCTGTATACAGCCCAAAGCAGGCTTCAGCAGTATCTTGCCCTCAATGAAACAAAGCAGAGTTTGTTACAGGAAATCCACAGCTGGATTTCACAGACTAAGCCTATTTTGAAAATAAACACTTTAAAAAAAAAAAAAAAATTAAAAATCACCTCTCTGAGCACCCTTAAGGATGCTTTTTGCTGCTATCTGTTGATAACACCTCTCACAAAACAAAACCAAACAAGAATCCCCTGTCTCCAGTTTCAGATTAAGCAATGTTACTCTATTACAACAAGCAGTTGATCACTCTCAGCACACGGACTGCTTCCTGTATTGGCCATTCACCATACACAATAAATATGCAGTATGACGATACCTAGCTCCTAATGTGCTACATCCTAACCAGACTTCTATAGGGCTGTAATATCTAGATAGCTGGTACCTCCATGGACAAACCCAATCACTGGGTAGGAACTCATAAATAGATAGTCAGGCTTATGCGTACAAGTGGTTGCATGGTGAGAAAAACTCCAACATAACTGGTGTGCAGGTGAACAAGAGTAATGAGATTTTTTTTTTTTTTTAACATGAAATTGCAGTCCGGACAAAAATTATATTCTTAGAGGTGTTCTGACTAATGCTTACTATGGAGAGAAAAGCAGTTAAAAGTAAGTCTGGTATTTTATCACCAGACCACTTTGATCCAGCATGAATTTTTGACACTTAGGACAAATTTTACCCTTTGTTGAACTTGATTGAGATATGAGCTAGATTCCACGTGCATGACTGAGGACAAAAATTAACCTATTTAATCTGTCTAAAAGTCCTTATTTTTTACCTTTGACATTACCAATAGAAAGCAAGAAATCCTGCTCATAACCCTTCCTAGTCTATCAGGAACAGCAGGTCAGGAGACACTGCAGCTTGCACTAAGGACACACTGGAATTGCTGTACCCATTCTCCAGCTCTCAAACCTTCCAAATCAGTCCTGCATGCAGAACAACACTACACTGATAGCAATGCGTCCTGGACCCTGACATGTTTCAGTAGAGGAGAAAAACCTTGGCTCATTCTGCATAAAGAATTTACAAACAATGCATTTTCTGGGGTTTCAATGCACTAAGCAGCAGACTGCATGAATACCATGCATCTCATTTAATGAATATTTAATAAAAACATAAAATGCTCAAGAGCAAATTTATTTGGTATGGATGCTTAGTGCAAAGGCATACTAAAGCAGCATGAATAACTGCAATGGACAGATGATAAAACTTAAATGCAGCAACTTGGCATGTGTAGTTTTGTCCCATGTATTTAATGACTGTTACAGAAAAAGCTGAAGGACATAAATGAATCAACATGCAAAATATTTACATATAAGTATTATGCACTGTAAACTACTTTTGTAAAGCCAGATCATTCACATGCATGAAAATGCATGGGCGTGTAAATGCATGCCAGGCACGTAGTTTTTTAAATCATTCCTAAAGAAGGACCTGAAGAAGCTAGCAGGAGTATTCATTCAAGCAAAATTATAGCCTCGGGCTATAAACAGAGCCACAATTTACATAGACTTGAAAAAGCCTTTAGGGTTGTGTTGGGTTGACCTTGGCCAGCTGCCAGACGCCCACCCAGTCGCTCTCTCACTCCCCCTCCTCAACAAGACAGGGGAAGAAAAGAAAATGAAAAAGCTCATGGGTCAAGATACAGACAGGAAAGTCTCTTATCAATTACCACCACAGGCAAAACAGAGTCAACTTGGAGAAACCTTATTTATTGCAATTAAAAATAGTTTTGGATGGTGGGAAACCAAATTTAAAACACCTTCCTGCCCCCGTCTTTCCCCAGGCTCAACTTCATCCTTGTCATTCTTTCATTTCCAACTCCTCTACCTCTCCCCACCCTGCCCTGAGCAGCATGGGGGGATGGCAGCTGCGGTCAATCCATAACAGCTCTTCGCTGCTGCTCCTTCCTCTTCATGCTTTTCGCCTGCTCCAGCATGGGTCCTTCCCATGGCCGCAGTCCTTCAGGATGAGCCTGACTCTTGTGTGGACTCTCCACAGGCCACAGATTCTTCAGGAAATCTCTACCCCCCCTAGTGTGAGGTCCCCCATGGGCTGCAGTGTGGATACTTGCTCCACCATGGTCTTCTCTCCATAGGCTGCAGGGGAATCTCTGCTCTGGCACCTGCAGCACCTCCTCCTCCTTCTCTCATCTTGGTGTTCACAGGGCCTTCTCACACTTTTTTTCCTTCCTCCTCACTGCCGTGCAGTGTTTTACCCTTTCTAACACATCCTTTCCCAGAGGCGTCCCACTCGTGGCTGAGGGGCTCAGCGGTGCCCTGCGGTGGGTCTGCCGGAGCTAGCAGTGTCCGGCACCTGGCAGCCCCGGCCTCTCCTCACGGAAGCCGTCCCTGCAGCCCCTGCTCCGCCTCTCCCTGCTCCCAACACCTCACCCCAGACACCCAATATAAAGGCTAACATTTCTGTGTCTACCACTCCATGACTGTAAGTATTCAAGGCTAAAACCTTTTGACTTAATTGCATTTTTCTTAAGGGAGAAAAATAGAAGGCTAAATCAGCAACCCTACACCTCTTCGTTGGAGAGGAAAAAGAAAAACCAACACAAAACTAACTGTAAAATAAAAAAACCGAGCTCGAGTTGTCATTGGAAAGATGACAGTCACAGCATCACTGTGACTGGTAAATATCTATTTCATGTGGATCCCATTGGATGGCCCTTTGGGGAAAAGCAGTAATGGCAAATGCTGAACTCTTCTTCTGCAGCATCTTCTTTAACTGACGCTATGCACCCTGCAGCATTCACTTTTAATTTTTGAACTCCTTCCCATTCCTTTTAGCTTCAATAATAAGGTCTGTGATACTCAGTAATGTCACCAAAGAACTGTCATTAACTGGTATGTTTAGTAATCTTCCTACAAACTGTTAGATACGCTGTAGTTCTTCCCCCCATGTCACTGTGCCATCACTCTGGCACGTGAGCTGATCAAACTCAACTTGCATATGAAGCTTCCCCCATTTCACAGCAGGGAGAGACCCCATTTGGGGCATTTCTGGAAAGAATTCATGAATCTGGGGTTTACTTCAATCACTAATTTCAGCAATAAAACTGTACAGGAGGTTTGAATCTGAAGTTTCAGGAGTTGAGGGATTATTTAAGTTATGCAGAAGCATTCAATTTTTAAATCAAACTACTTAATTTGCATCAAACTAGCATTCATTTGTTTAAAAATTGACTTTAAACTGAAAAGAAAAAAAAAAAAGAAAAGCCAAAACTGAGTATACCATTTTACTTCAGAAAAATACTTCAATTTAAAAACCTGAACACTGTGGAAAAAAACTCTAATTTTGTACCTTTCCTGCCAAACTAACTTTTTGGCTCAGCTGCCAAACTGAAAATGTCCATTATTTGCTTTTTTGCATTGTAGGATTGAGTTTCACCTATTACGTCTTCAGAATTAATTGCAATACTGCGATACAGACCCTGATTGCAATGGCATTGCATTGCAAACCAGTACCAGGACTCGATTAAGGTAGGATACTAATGCATTAAAGTGCTGACATTTGTCAGGTAGGTCACATCCATACTTCAGATAACTGGGAGAGGTTCTGATCTGACACCAGTATGCCCATGGGTTGCAGAGTCAGGAGATGAACCCCCCGCTCTGTGGGATTCAAGACAATGTCACCTTCCAAACTTCCAGTTGTGCAACTATGGGCACCCTGACTGAATGGCATCATTCCTGATGCCGACTGGCTCCATTTCATCCGTTTCCTTTGCCATTTAAGGTTTTAGTAATCATGGGCCCCCAAAAGGCTGCTGGAAGGCCAGCTCACAGGGGAGCACAAGGATGGGCAGGAGCTCAGGTGTCATGTCTTGTGATTCTTGTCTCTCTTCAAAATCTCTCATTTTTGAAGAGAAATCAGACTTGACCAATAACTCCTC